GAGTTTTTTTCTTTTTTTGGACAGAATTCACGAAAATAACTGAGTTTTTTTGCCCCGCTCAAGTTATGTAATCGCTTATGGACGAAGAGCGAGAAATCCTCAAATCCCTACCATCATCCATAAATCCTGTGGTGGTCGTCACAATTTTGCGTGAATCGCTTCCTGTAGAGCTTTTTTTTTTTTTGCAGAATTCACGAAAATAATTTATTTTTTCCCCGCTCAAATTATGTAATCGTTTATCGGTGAAAAGCAAGAAATCCTCAAATTCCTAGTTATATCATCATCCATAAGTCCCGTGGTGATGGTCACAATTTTGCGTGAATCGCTTCCTGTAGAGTTTTTTTCTTTTTTTGGACAGAATTCACGAAAATAACTGAGTTTTTTTGCCCCGCTCAAGTTACGAAATCGCTTATCGACGAAGAACGAGAAACCCTCAAATTCCCTAGCATCATCCATAAGTCCTGTGGTGATGGTCACAATTTTGCGTGAATCGCTTCCTGTAGAGCTTTTTTTCTTTTTTTTTTTTGCAGAATTCATGAAAACAATTGAGTTTTTTCGCTCCGTTCAAATTATGTTAATCGCTTGTCGACGAAGAGCGAGAAACCCTCAAATTCCTAGTTATATCATCATCCATAAGTCCATAAGTGGTGATGATCGCACTTTTGTGTGAATAAAGCTTCGCTTCCTGTACAGCGCATACCTGGGCGCAATGCGTCTGCTGGATTTGCATTTCTCAGCGTAACTTGTACGTTTGGCTTCTGTTGCTGCTGCTGTAGTTGGCTAGCACTGAGCGAATTCGCAACAGTTTGCAACGATGGCTTCGAAAGGCTCATCTCGCTTCACTTCTGCACAGCGTTCAGCACAGTCCTGGAATGTTCAAATGCCAAATATACGTATTTTCGGGTCAAAAACACACGCACGTATAATCCCAAGAAATAAGCTTCTACAGTACTCTCAAGGGGGACGTTCCCACCTGCTAAATCTTTGCTATGAAACGAATGGAAACGGTGAAAAAGAGGATTTATGAAATACCGTAATTAACGACCCTCAAGGAAATACTGCAAAGTTGTAATGTAATGTAATTTTAATTTTCGATGGTGTGTGTTTATGTAAAAAGTAGGGGAATAAAAGGGGATGTGAATAACTTAGAATCTGAATAAGAATGTTTCGGTCCATCAAGTCGAATGTTTCGGCATACATTCATGTTCAGTGCTGCAACTGGACCTCGTCAGTGTGACGGCTGTAAAAATTGTACTAATTATGCAAAATATGTGGGTAGGTATGCCGCATTGACAAGTGCTACTGCTTTGGCCTTGAAGCAAAGTAGGAGATGAGGGATCAGTTCAAGTATCATGTGAATGAAGATATTTGGACATGCAGTCTTTGTTTCATCCCTTAGCTGTAAACACTACTTGTTTGCACTGCGTCCAGTTCGAAAATCAAGAATTCGATTCTGTCAGCTGAGCAGCTGGCCCCTGTACAACTCAGTCATACCCATGCACTGAAAACTAAGAAGCTAAAATCGACATCAGCGTACCCATAAGCAATCTTTGCAGGCGGAAACCACTGAGAACTTTGCCAGCGTGTGGTTGCTGTTGACAAGAGCCGCCACTGAGCGACTCCCAAGTACCTGCGTTTTACAGGAAAAGTGAATGCTAAAGAGGGTTTTGACCGAACAGCAACGTAGACTTCCCTCCTCCGGAAACTTCCTTCCCTTTTTTATTGGAAATATTACTTTTGCTTCCAGAAAATGCTTTTGGTGTGCCTAGTAATGAACACTAGCAATGAGAATGCCACCCCTATATGCTGCGTACTTCTATGGGCAGATCTAATAGAGGAGGGGATAAGTCCTTCGTCCTCCCCCCCTCCCCCTCCCCTCCCCTGCCCCTGTTCAACGGCACAGGCACTAGCGTTGCAAAAGCCCGGGTCTAAAGCTAAAACTAAAGTGAAACCTAAAATAAGACTAAACTAAAGCAACTCTAAGTAGCAGCATTACAACTCTCTTCTTATGCGTTTTTGCGTATATGCAAAAACACATATTGTGACGACCCCGGTGTGTGTGTATGTATGTGTGTGTGCGCCTGTCCGGGTATTTCAACTGGACACCCAAGCAAGCTCCGGTGCCAAAATTTTGCGAGTGAGTTCCCCGGCCAAGTGCCACCCCAGGGCTGCGGTACCAAACCTCAAGCACGTCTAGGCCCCGCGTACGAGCGCCTTAAAGTTGTGGCGGGATAATCGCTGACTTGGGAACCAGAAAAGCTAACACTACAAAAACGCATGACCGCACGGGTTCGCCCAGTGCGCGTCACCAATGATTTTTGCATAGTTCCTGGGTCGGAGGGGACCTCCCTCTTCATCCGTCCGTCGCCCCCCAGCAGCCCCACTCTCCCCCTCCCCTCCTCCGTCCCCCTGATCCCTGCCCTCTCCCAAGGAATTCGCCCTGGATTCACCTGTGCAAATCCCACCCCCTGGTACTTGTACACAACCAATTATCCTTAGAGGGACCGAGTTATCCCTCAAAGCATTGGTAGGTCCAGGACAGGAGTGGGAGTGTAGAGACGACCGACGAGGAGGGGTGAAAAAAAATCGCCCGTCCCTCCCCCTTCCCCCCCCCTAGGAGACCGCCCTAATTTGTCTATGCCTCAAACAGCCAGTAGCACACCGTAATATGATGCATTGCACGTTGAAAATACAGTAAGGTAAAAAAGTGCAGCGATGGCGAGCTATTCTATCATCATTTGGCGTGAACAGAAAAAA